CCAACAATGCGCTGTTCGCGCGCGCGCGCGCGGCCGCCGCCCACAGCCCCCGGCGCCCCGCCGCCCCGCCGCCTGCGGCGTGCTCTGCGGCCTTGCGCCCCGGCAGCTTTAGGAACCAAGCTATGTGCCCCCACCATGAGACCTGATCCTGGAACACTCTCTCCATCTCTTCCCCTACACACGCGCACACACATGCACGCACGCACACACATCCCACACAAACATGCACACACATCACACACATGTGCAGGCACACTTCCACGCATTACACACACACACATGCACAAACACATAATTTTCCAACCGCCACCGTCACCCCCCCCCTCAAACAGTACCTGCTACCGCTGGCCATCGCCCTGGGCGCCCCCCTTGACGCGCGTGACGTCATCGTAGGCAACCTCATCCCCACAACCCTGGGCAACTGGGTGGGCGGCGCGGTCTGCGTGGCCACGGTGTACGCCTTTGCGTACGGCGCGCCAAACAAGAAGGTCACGGAATGGTGGGGCGCCGTGGGGCGCCGCGGCGGGCGGCACGAGCTGCCGGCCGCGCGGGGCGGCGGTGGCGGCGCGGCGCGCTGCCACGCCGTGGTGTAGGGTGCCCGGGCGGGCCGCGTCCCTGCGCCGCCGGACGAACTTGAACTGGTTCGGCAGTGCGTCGGCGTCGGCTGGTTCCCATTTAGGCCGCCTTTGGCCAGGCAGGCCGCAAAGCGCGGCGGGCCACCCCGCGGCACAAGGCCCCGCCTGTCGCGCCTCGCGCTGCGCTGGAGGCCGGCGCCAACGTTCATTTCGCGCGGCCGCGCACGCCCGAGGGGCTTTGGAGGGTTCCATGCGGCGCCTCGCATCGCGAGTGCATCGAAGACGCGTGCTCAGCAGCGCCGCTCTTCTATTCGAGGCGGGACACACAATAATTGGTGCCGCAGCAGGGGGCAAGAAATGGCGAGGGAGGGTGCATGGCATGGACGGATCGCAGTGGATCCGCTTTGCGCAGCGACAGACGCACACGCCGCCTCCGCCAAGCCTCAAGGCTCCGCAAACGCACGGCGGGCGCCCCGCCCCTTCCCAGGCGCATTGCCTGCAGAGGGGCGCGGCCCGCTGCACTTTGAATTGACCCCGGCGCCCTTGTCATGAATTTTTTGATAGCGCGAGCCGAGGACGCCCCCAGGCCACCTCCCACCCAGCAATGGGGCGCACGGGCCTGGCTACGGCGCTCGGCGCGGCGCCACGCACGCCAATACACGCCCAACGGAGCCGCTGCTGATTTTTTTACGCACTGTGCTTCGAATCGTGCGTCTCACGGCGCAGCCCAAACTTTCTTATGCCCCAACGAAGCTGCCCTACGCTGTGAAACGCCCCCCTTCAAAGTTCCTAGCATGGGATGCCCGCCACCTCCTGTGTTCAAGGGCGCCGCGTGCGCGTGTGCGGCCCCACTATATTGCCCAACAATGCTGTGGGCCACCCATGCCCCTCCCCGCACCCGCCACTCGTCGCAGTCCCTTGATCAGGTTGCGCTGACTCACCGCCATTTTTCCCCAGCACCACTGGGCGGATGAACCCTGTCCCTCTCCATAGACTAGCCAGCACTTGACAGACACCTCCCTCTCTCAAAAGCTCTCATTACGGATTGATTCACCAATTGCCGCGCCTAGTGTCCAAGTAACACTCACCGCATCCCTCACGCCCAGATTCAGTCATGGTGACCATCCATTATCAATCAATGTTCTTGCCTATGCAGCAAACAGGGCAGGCTGCATTTGAGACATCACGGGGTCATGTGGCAGCGGCGGCACGCATGTGATGTGGCACGGCCTACTTCTCGTTCGGATCACTCAGCGGCAGTTGCGCGTTGTGCAGCTCCAGCTCAAAGCAAGCAGTCAAGCGACAACGATGGTAAAAAATGAACCAGCAGCCCTGACGGAGTAACGCACGCCCACTCAAATGGGCCCCAGCGCCGCAAACAGTCATGGCCCAGATGTGCAGCCACAAAATTGAGGGGGACCCCTCGAAGCAGGCCGGTCCAACGCAGGGGCACAGGCTACAGGCAAGCCTCGGCTGAGCATCAATTAATCAAATAAAATCAGCATATATTCCTCAAGAATCAAATCCCTATCTTTGGCTGCGAACACGCAACTCGGGACAAATGATGGCAGACGCGCGCTGTCAGCTAATGAGCTGCCCATGATACCGCGCGCTGATGAGCGCGCCTGCTCACGCGCCGTCGCCCCCGCCGCCGCC